CCTTTTGTTATCTCGGGACAGTGACTTGAAAGAAATTCTGTGATTTGCATTTTAATCAATTGAATCTTGCATCTCCTTTCTAACAGATTGAAGATTTAACAGGAAGTTGTCAGCCAGCCATTTTAGATTTATTCAATACATTCACATCAGTTGTAGGATCCTTTGATCTTTTACTTATAAATTCTGTGTCTTGATACCTCCTCGCTTACTAAACCTGAGGAAGAGGCAATGCTCCAAAAGATAGTGTTTTCAGATAAACCTATTGGACTATAATTTGGTGTCGTGTGATTTCTGACCATGTAAAGTGGCCTTGTTATGTTTTGCCATGTTGAAGAAACCGTATAAAGTTAAGTTCTTTGAGACAGCTTCCTTTTAAAACAAAGAGGAATCTGGGACATGAATGTTCCAGAAATGCGGGTTGTATTTGTCTTTGGTTTATCTCTGCCTGACACATTGGAATGATGTAAATTTGTTCTGCTTGCTTGAGTTATGCTGATCAGAAAGCTCATTTACTTCTTTGAGTAATGCCTAACCTCAGGCTCTGTGAGAAGAATTGAAATGACCTTGAGTGATTAATTCTTCATTAATCCTTCTGTTCTCTCTCCAGACTCCTGCTTGACCATTCAATATCTCATCAATAACATTTTCCTTGGAAATAATTTATTTGTAAATAATCCTGTACAACTGGACAGCCGGTTACTGCTGTATTATGTCCTCCTTTGTCACTGTGTCAATTATTTGTCTGTCCACACTTTGAAATGTCTGAGAACTTTTAACAGCACTCAAAAGGGTATATAGGTGTATGTCACTAGTATGGTTGGAAGTATGCAGTAGAGATAATTTTAGTCATCTCCTGAAGTTAGCAGTGTTTTTTGTGCTATCCAATTTGTAATCAGTGGAAGGCTCGTTTCCTCGGCCTGAATATCGAACACATAGAATGCTGCAGATGCTGTGGAATTTTCTTTTTCCTTTCATGGGATGTGGGTGTCATTTGCCCATCCCTAATTGCCCTTGAGAAGGTGGTGGTGCGATGCCTTCTTGAACCACTGCATTCCTTGGGGTGTGGGAGCACTGCAATGCATTAGGGAGGAAGTCACAGGATTATGACCCAGCGACAGTGAAGAAATAGTGATGTTGTTTATGTGGCTTGAAGAAGAACTTGCCGGCTAAAACAAAAACTGAAAAAAAACATGGAAAATGTTCAGCAGGTCAGGCAGCATCTTTGAAGAGAGAAACACAGTTAATGTTTAACTTCTATCAGAATTCTGGATCTGGCTGCCTGGGATTGTAAGCTTTTAACTGTGGAAGTACATTATGTGATGATAAAAGGAAGAGACTATCTTGGGAGCAAACCAACGTTGTGATCATTGGGCCATTTTTATTCATTTAGACATTGTAGTGATTGTAACAAAGTCAGCCAGGTGGACCTCATAGAATTTGAGCTCCCTGTTTGGGGCTGTTAATTTGGTCCAATCAGGGAGTCTTGGAGGACAGATATAAACAGGAGTGTTAGATCCTGTTCACTCTGAGAGCTGGCTCTAAGGGAGCTAGATCAGTGTCAAATACTTTCCACGTGTGAATAAAGGGTGACTTGGTGACAGGATCCTGGCCTCGGTGGAGATATTTCAGACTTAACTGAAGTGTTCTTTTTTCTTCAAAAAAGCTCAAATTCTCTAATTAGAACCTGATATTCAGTTACCTTGAGATATTTTGAAAAAATATAAAGTTTAAATTAAATCTAAGATTTTAAGAAAAACAAAGTGCTGGAGAAACTCAGGAGGTCTGGCAGCATCTGTGGAGAGGGAAATAGAGTTAACTTTTTGAGCCCTATGTCACTTTTTTAAGCAATGATTGTAATAGTGGGAACAAGCCATGCATGGAGACTAGAGTTTGGATTTTAAAAATGTGTATCTCTAATAAGATTGAAATGGCTCTTTCTCTCCTCTCTCTCTTTTTACACTTGTGATAGCCTCACTGTTGAAACTGTGGTACCGGGAACTAGAGGACCCACTCATCCCTCATGAGTTTTATGAACAGTCTATCAACCATTACGAAAACCCAGAGGCAGCAATTGCAGTCGTCCACTCCCTACCCAAGCTCAATCGGCTGGTCCTTGGCTACCTCATCCGCTTCCTACAGGTACACATTGTTACAGTCTATTCCCAGGGCATCCACATTCCACACACCCACTCCTAGTGTCAATCAAAACACCATAACTATCATCCATTTACACTAATGTCAATTTCAGAGATGCCAAATAAGGCACGTTCTGTTTATTTTGGGCAAATACTAGTCACTCATTTGTACCTCTTCAAGGTGCACTTAAGGTAGGAACAGACGTAAGTTGATGCAAGGCCAAACCTGGTAAATGCGTGAGGTGCCAGAGATGTAGAAGGATATGATGTCTGGGTTAAGTATGGGGGAAGCCTCATGTGGCGTGTAAACAGCAGTGTTGAGGACCGAATGGCCTGCTTCTCTGCTGTATGTAGAGCCCAAAATATGTAATGGGTAAATAAGTAACATCTCAATGTCCATAACCATTTGTGGACTTAAACTCTTGTAATCCCCTCAAAGGAGGTCACAATTTGTAACAAGCACTGACCACCATTCAAATAAAGCTGCAGGTCACTGAAACAACTCGGCAATGGGTAACTACACAGAAGCAGCACTCTTGTTATGTGGTAGAGAGTTATAATCGCGTCAACCATTCTGCAACGTGGGTCAATCACATTTCTAAAAGCTTAACCACTGCAAGGCTGTATTTGTCATGTTAATATTGCTGTGGATTCAGAAATGTAACTTTATTTTCCTTTGGTCCTATACAATTCAGTGTCACTTTGGATTTCCTTGGATCCATTAACAAGTATAGAATTGCGCAAATGGATTCTTTTCTTCAGTCAAAACCACATTTATTTCTCATGACAGTCTAATGTTCTATTCTCTTAAATGATCTGTATGATTTCAGTTTGACCAGGACATTTTTTCAGCGCTGTTTATTTTCCATTTTTTGTTTTCTCCTGTGCTGGAGGTGTTTAGGAGCTCAAAAAAGTGTACGTTATCCCACAGTTGAATAAAGCACTCCTCAGGTCCCATTTGGATATAGCGTTCAGTTCTAGGAACTGCAACTCAGAAAGGCTCCCTGGAAGATACAGCACATATTCATCGGAATGATACTGTACCTGGAAGGGGTTAAATTCTGAGAATGCATTATGTATGATTCCCTGGTATGGAGGGATTGTCTTATGGGCAAAGGCTAAACAAATTATGACTCCACTCACTTCAGTTTAGAAGAATGAAGAGTGATCTCTTCGAAACATATAGCATCTTAAGGGGCTTAACAGGGTATATGCTGAGAGGATGTTTCCCCTCACGGGAGAGTCTAGGACCAGAGTATTTTTCTTTTTCTTTATTCATTGATGGGATGAGGGCGTCGCTGGCCAGGCAGCATTTATTGCCCATCCCTAATTACCCAGAGGTCAGTTAAGAGTCAACCATATTGCTGTGGGTCTGGAGTCACATATAGGCCAGACCAGGTAAGGATGGCAGTTTCCTTTCCTAAAGGACATTGGTGAACTAGATGGGTTTTTCCTGACAATCGACAATGGATTCATGGTCATCATTAGATTCTTAATTCCAGATATTTATTGAATTCAAATTCCACCATCTGCCATAGTGAGATTTGAACCCAGGGCCCCAAAAAATAATCTGAGTCTCTGGATTAACAGTCCAGCAATAATACCACTAGGCCATCACCTCCCCTTAACTGTCTCAGAATGAAGAGATTTTTGTTGTTTAAGGACATGACGAAAAAATGAAGCAAGGGTAAGGAATTGGAATTGAGATACAGATCAACCATGATTTTACTGAATGGCCGACTCCTGTACTCAGATTTTCGTCATGGTGGCTCCATGGTTAGCACTGCTGCCTCACAGCTTCAGGGACGAAGGTTTGATTCCTGCCTCAGGCGACTGTCTATGTGGAGTTTGCACATTCTCCCCGTGTCTGCGCGGGTTTCCTCTGGGTGTTCAGGTTTCCTCCCACAGTCCAAGGATGTGCAGGTTAGGATGGATTGGCCATGCTAAATTATCCCATAGTGCCCAGGGATGTGCAGGTTAGGGTGGCTTGGCCGTGCTAAATTACCCACAGTGC